TACAGATGGCATTCGAGAGCTAACACAGTCTTTACATTCTGCGTTTAATCTCAAGGAGCTAGGGGATGTGTCATATTTCCTTGGGTTGGAGGTGAGTCGCTCGAAGAAGGGGTTATTCATTAGTCAACATAAGTATATCGTTGATCTTCTTGAAACAGCTCAATACAGTGATCGTCGACCGTGCTCTACTCCAATGGAGCATTATCTAAAGCTAAGTAGAGACAGTGGAGAGTTGTTGGAAGATCAGACCTTCTACAGAAGCATAGTAGGAAGCCTGATTTACCTCACCCATACCAGACCTGATATAGCCTATGCAGTACAGACTGTGAGTCAGTTCATGGGAGCAGCGAGAACGTTACATTTGGATGCGGTACATAGACTGCTGAGGTATTTAAAGCACACACTGGATGTGGGAATGTTTTTCCCAGCAGATAATTCATCTGTCTTAGAGGGATTTGCTGATGCAGACTATGCAGGATGCCTGGATACTCGACGATCCACTTCTGGGTGGTGTGTGAGACTCGGTCACTCGTTTATCTCATAGAGATGCCGTAAACAGGATAAGGTGTCGAAATCTTCGACTGAGGCTGAATATCGTTCTATGTCGGAGTTGAGTTCTGAAATGGTTTGGTTAGAGCGTCTGCTGAATGAGTTAGGAATCGAGTGTCAGGTTCCGATGCGTATCTATGGAGACAATACCAGTGCTATTCAGATAGCAATTAATCCTGTGCTTCATGATAGAACAAAGCACATAGAGGTTCACATACACTACATTCGGCAGCTAGTTGCAGAAGGGAGGATACAACTGAGTCATTTGTCGACTGAAGATCAGACTGCTAACTTGTTAACAAAGGCTGTTGCATCCAGCCGACATTGGTATTTATCTTGCAAATTGATGTTAATCACGCGACATCAATTTGAGGGAGGGTAATTATATGTATCATTATGTAATTAACCTAGGCTAAGTCGGCAGTGCTTAGGTTAAAAGGCCTATATATATGTACTCTTGTAAACGGTGAAGGGGATCAAGCAATATAATCCTAAAACCTGTGAGAGAGATTCTCACCGTGGACTAGTGTCATATTGACGAAACCACGTTAAAAAACTCGGTGTTCTTTATGTTCTCTTGCAAGTTTGACATTGGGCACATAGCAATTCCATCACTTATTGTCGAAGATGGGTGTTTGTAACCTTAGCGCTCCAGCTTGAGGGGAGTAGGGGTGGGCATTCGGTCGGTTCGGTTTCGACCGAACCGAAATTATGAATAACGGGTCCCCGAATTCTCCCAAACCTCAAACCGAATTCGAACTAAATTATAATTCGGTTCGGTCGGTTTAAATCGAATTACAATTTGGTTCGGTTTTTCACACAAAACCGAATTTGTGAGGCTACTTGTATCTTCACACTTTTAAAGTATTTTTCACCCTTGTATAAACAATAAATATGCAACTATATGCATCATCAATGATAAAATCAAACTTTTCAACACATAATTCATAAAATATTTCAAATATTTAAGTCTAGAAAAAACTACAAACATAAAAATCCACCATTTGGAGCATGTAATTATATTATTTCGATTTTTCGATCGGTAATTTGGAATTTCAGTTCTGTTGAGAGAACCATGATTTCCGAAATATCCATATTTTCATTCCGAATTCCGAACCAAATAGCTTTATTTCGGTTTCGGTTCGATTTAATTCAGTTTTGGTTCGGTTTTACCGAACCATTTGCCCACCCCTAGTCGGAACGACGGGGAAGTTGGCATCGACGGGAGAAGCCGAGTAAAGAGGTGTGCAGGGGCGAAGCCAGGATTATGATTTTGAGGGCCAAAAATTTAAAAACTATATGTATTTCGTTATTGCATAAGTTTGTTAAGACATTGCTAAAATAAATTTTCTAAATATTTTGATTGGATTGAACTGAGAAATTATTATTTGTTTTGGAACCAATTTTCAAATTTTTATAGTTCAAAATGAATGATTACTAATAATCTATATATTAACCAAATAGAAAGAAGATAAATATATATGGACACAAATTAAATATTAGATTGAGTGATAACTTTGAAAAGGGGAAGATTTTGAAGCTTTAAAATATTACCCATTTTTACTTTATCGTTAATAATTTTGTTACTCTTTTCTTAGTTAAAATACTAAAATTTTGCAATGTTGATCTTCATATGTGTTATCCAAATCAGTATCATGTTGCCAAATCAATATTACTAACAAAATTCCTAACTGAAAGTTAACATTTGGTTAAATTCTTAGTATTTCGATAGATTTGAATAATATAAAAGAATATAAGAAAATACTAAATTTTTGCAATGTTGATCTTCATATTTGTCTTCCAAATCAGTATCATGTTGCCAAGTCAATATTACTAACAAAATTGCTAACTGAAAGTTAACATTTGGCAAATTCTTAGTATTTCGATAGATTTGAATAATATAAAAGAATATAAGAAAATACTAAATTTTTGCAATGTTGATCTTCATATGTGTTTTCCAAATCAGTATCATGTTGCCAAGTCAATATTACTAACAAAATTGCTAACTGAAAATTAACATTTGGTTAAATTCTTAGTATTTCGATAGATTTGAATAATTAAAAAAATCTGAAAAGGATTTGGATAAAAAATAGACATTACGCTTATAATTACTTAAACCAAACTTGATGTTATGGAAAATTAAACACTCCATGCGTGTATAAGGAGAATCGAACATGTCCCCTTTGTGTTAAAAGAAAAGGATGCTTGCGTCTGATTTCGCCGTTTCTCCCTATTCCTACTTCGGCGAGGAGATGCCGGAACAGGTGTCGCCTCCGAGTCTAGCTTCTGATCGTCAGGGGAGAGTTCAGGGAAGTCGGACGGTCGGTGGACTCTAATCGAGTACGGCTGAATTACCTTAGGGATTTCATTTTTCAATTAATTGATTTAGAAGACAATAAAATAAAATAATTAGTTGAAATTAGGAGTAAATGAGGGCAATTGAGTAATTTTGAAGCCTTTTTAACGGTCATATAACAGAAAATTAGATGAAAGGTTAAAATTGTTACGTTTTAATATTAGCAGGATATGGTTCTGCAAAAATTTAGTAAAAGGGTACGTTTGTTAATTTACCATAGTAGAGAGATACAAAATGCTATTAACCCTTTTTTCTTCCCAAATAAGGTAAATGCTACATTTGGTCACTGAGATTACTAAATCGTGTCATATTTAGTCACTAGAAAATTTTAATATCAATTTTGGTCACTCGAATTATTAAAACACCTCATATTTGGTCACTCTCCTGTAGCCTCTGTACAACTTAGGTCACTCGAATTATTGAAACATGTTACATTTAGTCACTCGAATTACGTGGTTTCCTCGTTCGAATTGAACGAGACTACTCCACGGAGAACTCACGTTCTCAGGATTTTTATAATTGATGATGATTTCAGAGAGTTAGGGTTCGGCGGAGCCGAAGACCCTTCTTAAGTACTTCCATCCTCGTACAACAATTAACCTGAGGATTGGCATATTACATTACGACCCCTAAACTTATTTACATCACCAAAACTAAACAAAGGAATCGTAATACTCCCCCTCAAACGGAGGAATAGATGTCAAGGAGACTGAGCTTGACCAGCAGATGATGAAACTAATCAACGATCAACCCCTTTGTGAAGATATCAGCAGGCTGCTCCGCGGTGGCGATCTTCCGAGGTAGAATATCGCGAGTCCGAACTCGCTCCCGAACGAAATAACAGTTTATTTCCACGTGCTTAGTCCGCTCGTGGAAAACAGGATTAGCAGCAATGTGTAAGGCCGCTTGATTATCACAGAAAAGTGGTGTAGGACCTGTAAGGTGGACGCCCAAATCACGAAGAAGCCAGGGAAGCCAAAGAACCTCACTAACAGTAGTGGCCATCGCCTGATATTCTGCCTCGGCTTAAGAACGAGCAACAACAGACTGTTTCTTCGTACGCCAAGAAACAGGAGAAGAACCCAAGGTGATAAAATAACCACTCGTGGAACGACGAGAAGTCGAGCAGCCGACCCAATCAGCATCACTGTAAGCAGTAAGACTAAGATTACCCCATGATGGGAGAAACAGACCACGTCCAGGAGTAAACTTCAGATAGCGAAGAATGCGAGCAACAACATCAACGTGTGCCTGAGTAGGGGACTGAACAGCCCGACTCAGTAAATTAACGGCGTAGGCGATATCAAGGCGAGTGACTGTAAGATACAGCAGACGACCAACCAAACGACGAAAATCGGCGGGGTCAGCCGCTGGAGAAGGAGAATCACGACCAAGATGGTGTCCTTGCTCAATGGGAGTAGGGCTCGGCTTGCACGCTGTGACACCCGCCTCAGAAAATATATCCAAAACATACTTGCGTTGATTTAACACAAAGCCCTTGGGAGAACGAGCCACTTCGATGCCCAGAAAATACCGCAAATCACCCAAATCCTTGATAGTAAACCTGCCATGGAGAAAATTCTTCACCCGTTGGATAAATGTCATGTAGTTTCCAGCCAGAATAACATCATCGACGTATATGAGGGCAGTGACAAAGGTACCCCCACGACGATAAGTGACAAAGGTACCCCCAACTCTGTGAGAAACCCAAGGACAAGAGAGACTGAGTAAACTTTTGATACCAGTTACGGGAAGCCTGGCGGATCCCATAAATTGATTTCCGAAGACGACACACACTAGTGTCACCAGGCTGAAAGAAGCCTTAAGGAATACGCATGTAAACCTCTTCCGTCAAGTCACCATGAAGAAATGCGTTATTAACGTCGAGCTGCTGAATTATCCAACCGCGATGGGTAGCCACAACCAGCAAACAACGAATGGTGACAAGTTTAGCAAACAGTGCAAATGTGTCATGATAATCAATGCACTCGATCTAGGTGAAACCCTTCCCAACTAAACATGCTTTATAACGTTCCACTGAACCATCAGGAAGAAACTTGATATTATAAACCCATTTGCAGACAATAGAACGTTTGCTCGGAGGTAAATAACAAAGCTCCCAAGTACCATTAGCAACCAAGCAACGATCTCTGCCTGCATGGCAGCATGCTAATGAGCATGACGTACGGTCTGATAGTAATAGCGGGGTTCACCGGCAGAGGAGACAACCGCTACAAAAGCATGATACACCCGAGAGAGCCGATGATAATCAAGATGGTCCTCCAAAGGATAAGTGACTTCGGCAGTATGTGTCATCCAAGGCATGGCGACATCATAACCCGCGAGCCGAGTCGAGGGCTTATGAGAACGATCTCCACAACGGAGGGCTGGAGAATCAGTGAGATTGGGAACCGCAGTCTGGATGCTTGGGCCAGAATCAGTCGAAGTGGGAGCCGACTGGGATTATTGCAAAGAAGAGGCCTTGTCGAAGGTTGCACTAGGCGAAGTAGAGGACTGGTCGAGTGACGTGGTTGGCGAAGAGGAAGACGCAAGCTGGGGTGAGCGACCAGCTGGTGTGGACGGTGAAGGAGGACTGCGCGCGGCTGGTGCAGGCGAGAGGGCCACACTGAAAGAGAAGAGTCTGATTCATCATCAACCAAACAAAGAGGTTGAGTGGATTTCAATGCAGGCGGTGGAGCTTGGCAAAGGGGATCAACCGCACTAGGAGCATTAGAGAGGCGATAAGGGAAGACATTCTCCAAAAGCTTGACGTCAAGAGACGTGTAAAGCTGCTTACGCTCCAAATCAAAAATTTGGTAGCCACGCTAAGTTGCAGGGTACCCAACAAAAATGTCTGCTTGTCCACGTGCACTAAATTTATCCAGTCCATGACGATTATCTCGAGCATAAATGAGACAACCAAAACCTCTGGAGTGCTCATAGGAAGGGTCCTTGCCGAAGATGATCTGGTAGGGAGACCGGTCTGCAATTGGTGAGAGTGGCAAACGGTTGAGAAGATAAGCAGCTATCAAGCACACTCTCCCCAGAATGTAACGATAGATTTGCATGGAAGCGTCAAGCGCGAACTGTATCCAAAAGATGTCGATGCTTATGCTCAACGACCCCATTATGTTGTGGTATGTTTGTGCAAGAGGTCTGGAGGATGATACCAGACTGATCATAAAAGTCATGCAACTCATGAGTAGAAAACTCCGGTCCATTATCAGCCTATATACGACGGACTTGTTTGTGAAACTGAGTGCTCACCATATGACAGAAAAGAAGGAAGTAACGGGCAACCTCGAACTTAAACAAGCGGCACGACTATGATCATCACTATAGCAAAAAAATAACGACCCCCAGTAAATGAAGGGGTTGAATATCCACATCAAATGCCAACACTAATTAACTCAAAACAATCCGTAGTAGTAATCGAACTGGATACAAAAGGATCACGTGTCTGTTTAGCACGAAAGCAAGAGAGACATGAATCTTTCTACTGAACAAGAGGACTAGAGATAAAACGCTGTAGAAATTAGAATAGACATCTTCGCCAATGAAGGGTGACCAAGTCGAGCGTGCCATAATATTGAACTATCTACAGCTTGATGAACCGAACGAGCCACTGGATGTTGCTCGTCAAAAACTTGTAGATAGTACAACCCATCAATATGCTTACCCATCCCAATCAGCCTCTTGGATGGTAAGTCCTGAATAACACGTAAGTCCTTTATGAAAATCAGAGCAACCGGGAGATCAGCCATGAGACAACTGACTGATAGTAAATTACACTAAAAACGGAACATGAAGAACTTTCCGTAGAAAAAGATCAATAGATAAATGTGCATAACCAATCCGATGAACAGGAACGCCCATGTCATTAGGAATTCGAGCCTGTAGAGCTGGTGGACTCTCTAGCTCATTGGATAAAAGAGATTGATTGCTAACAATATGCTCATTACAACCGAAATCAGTTACCCATGAAGTATGAGAGGGAAGAGCTGTACCTGCCATGTTCGAAGTAGGGTCCAGGGATGCTGGAGCCGAAGCGCGAATGTCTCAACCCAAAAGTTGTTTGAGTTGGGAAAATTGGGCTAGAGATAGCCCTGGAAATGGATTGGACTACACGTCTACAGCAGCAGCCTGAGGTTTCGATTGCTAGCCACGATCGGAGGAGTCCCCGCGGTGACATGGAGGTGCTTTACCAGGAGTGCGAGAGGGGTAGCCATGCAACTTGTAACACGTTGCTTTGAAATGACCGGTTTTGTTGCAATGAGTGCTAATGGGACGACCCTCTGCATCACAAGGACGATCAACGTCTCGCTCCCCTTTGCGACTAGACGCATGCGGCTTCCTCTTTCCATGGGCCTGGAAAACAACAACTTCAACACGAGGGCGACGATTGCTAGAAATATGACGAAGTTGTTCGTCATTCATGGCAAGAGATAAGCATTGGCCAAGCTTGGAGTGGGTATCATCGCTAGAATCTGTGTCTTGATGATCCCAAATGCATCATCAAGGCCCATGAGAATGTCGAAGAGGCGCTCATTTTCCTCAGATTCACGCTGCCTGCGGTTCACATCACAAGTACAACCACCACTAGTGCATTCTAAGGAAGGAGCAAGAGAATTGATTTCGTCCCACAAACCACGAAGCTTGGTGTAAAAGGAAGCGACTGAAGTCTTCTCTTGTTGAAGTAAATTGATGGTCTGATGAAGTTCGTACAACCGGGGGACACTCCCATGACCAAACTGAGTCTGAACGTCGACTGATATCTCCCTAGCAGTGATAGCAAATCGCACGCTGCTGCGCACATCCTTTGACATGGCGGTCTTCAACCAGCCTTTAACCATGGCGTCACCTTGCTTCCAGGCATCAAAATCTTCATAGTTAGTTTTCGTGAGAAGCTCACCCACGAAAAGCCGACTGGGGCTCTTGGAATTGTGTAAAGTGAAGGGCAAAGGGCGTTGTACGCCCACGCTAGTCGTGAAGATGCTTTTGTTCGAGGCCGAGCTCTTCTCAGCTTTGGTGTCACTCATCGTTGAACGAGGAGGAGAGAAAAATTGTGGATCTCTTCACAGCTCTGATACCATGTAGAAAACGATGAATCGAAAGACACAACGCAAGGATTTTACCTGGTTTCCTCGTTCGATTTGAACGAGACTACTCCACGGAGAACTCGCGTTCTCGGGATTTTTATTATTGATGTGATTTCAGAGAGTTAGGGTTCGGCGGAGCCAAAGACCCTTCTTAAGTACTGCCATCCTCGTACAACAATTAACCTGATGATTGGCAAATTACATTACGACCCCTAAACTTATTTACATCACCAAAAATAAGCAAAGAAATCATAACAATCTCACTGACCAAATGTGGCATTTACCCTCCCAAAATAATTGTAAGGTTTGTAGTGATGGCAAGGCTTCGGGGCAACTGTTGTGAGCTGATTGGGAGCCAAGCTATTTGAAACTAGAGTTAAAATGAATGAGATATTGTACGTTAGAAATTTATAATAAATGAAAAATACTTCTCAATAATCAAATGGGATTTCGCGTCAGCTCACATCTAGCATCTAAGCTAACTGAGACGCGTCTTGCTGCGTCAGCTCACTTCCAACTAATAGAATACGTCTCGGTTGGAGAATGTTCTGATACAATGTCAAAAACTTATTAATCTTAATAACGCGAGTTGTTGAAAGATGTTCAATTATATAAATCTTATACCATCTAGTGACATTGGTTTGAGTCTAAGGATTCCGGCGCCCTCGCCAATCTAGCTCATGTCACTATAAAAAAAAAACAGCTGAAGTGACAATTCAAAATTCAGTCAAATTGTCATTAAAAGGTAGAAAAATGTCACAATAGTGTTGTACTGACGTTTTACACAAATGACACATAAATGTCACATAATCCAGTGTCACTAACTTCTTTTGTGACATTTGTTACAATTGTCAGTACCACTTTTGTGTGACGTTTATTTTACATATTGCGACACTTATAATCGTAGCATAATAACATCTTTTGTGACATTTTAAAGCGTCGTAAGTGATGCAAATAGTGACATTTCTAGAGACATATCAAACTGTTATAGTTAATACCAATAGTGACATGTCTTGTGACATTTCAATATGTCATAGCCCATCTCAATAGTGACATTTATAAGGACATGTTAATATGTCACAATTGATACAAATAGTGACATTTCTCGAGACATTCATAATTGTCACAATAGATCCCAATAGTGACATTTCTAAGGACATATCAAAATGTCATATTAAATATATATTGTGACATTTCTCAGGACATTCCAAAGTGTCATGGTTGATACCAATGGTAACATTTACCGTGACATTTCCATATGTTATAAAGTTAATCTTGAATGTCTGGTTTCATATGTTTCGAATCTTAAAGTTTTTCTCAATGTTTTGCTTGTGTTCTTAAAAGGTCGAATGGGATGAACTGGGTGCAATTTTGCTTCCAGATCAAGTGTCTTTTTGGGAAGTGGAGCCAATTGTTGCAACTGCTCCTTCAAATACTCGACCTACAAATTGGACCAACAAGCGGTCACGACCATCATATTTGCCTTCATTGAATCCCGACCTTAAGGCCCTTGGTTGTTCATTTCCTTATTTTTACTTTCTCATTTATGTTTGAATTGGCTAGCTAGTGTCAATTACTTTTGCTGTTTTCACCTTAATATGTTAGGCATTTCGAAGACACATATTGAACCATCTAGTCACGAGCATCTTGATTCATGTGGATCCTCATACCAAATGATCAATTTCTTGGCCTAAACAACTGGAGGGTGTAGTCGAGTCCATTTCCCCAGTCGTTAAGATAATTTCTAGTGACTGGAAACATAACTCAGAGAATGGCTTCAACTTGTTTGGCATTCAACTTGTTAATAGCTTCAATAGGGAGGAAAGTTCTCCATGTTCAGGCTTTTCAGACCCATAAAGAAGGTTTGCCCAATTCTGTCTTTGAATACTGAGTTCTACTGTCCCTTTCAGTAAGTTCTTATCCTGGGAAATCAAGGTTTTGCCCTGGATTTGCATCGCTTGCAGGTAAGGGCCTGCTCAAAGGTTCAAGGAAGTTGAGATGGTGGTAGAGTAGCAGTCTCGTTCTCTCTCTTGTTGGATCAAGGATGCAAGTAACGACCACATCTTGTCCTCTCTTCGTTGGTCAAGACTTTTGTTGGGCATTTTGGGGGGTGTAACTACAATGAAGTAAATGAATGACCTGTAATATTTTGTAATCTCGTAGCAGCCGCCATGGCATTACGCATGATGACAGGTTCCTACTTTTGGCATTTGTATTAATGCATATTAGAAATTGAATCATGTTAAGAGACTTGAAGAGAAAATTTATACTTTGGCAGCAGTTGTTTCAAGTTAAGGTATGAATTGAATTCAGTCATTGATAGAAAGCCCAATAGCTCCTTCCTCAAATACACCACATGTATTCGGTTCGTTTCTCCATGCAGTTGGAAACTTTGGTAGCAATTTAGTGTGCAGTTTTATGCCATAACAAGTAGTGATTATCCTTACCCATCATTTTGGTTGCGAACGAGAAAAAATTAGAATATGTGATCGAACCAAAAGTAAATAAAAATGGAGGGTTCAAATCACAAAGAAGCAAGTTTATTAGTTCGCTTTTGACCGATTCAAATGCAATTTTGATAGAAATTTCTTTCATATTTAAGATAATTTACAGGATCAACAATGAATCAAACTATATAGGGTACCATTCAATTAAATTTTGAGTGGACCGTGAACTAATCAAACAAACAATTTGAATCGAATCAAATAACCTAGATTGTCGTGAATAGGGGGTGAAACAATTACAATCATTTTGATTTTTTTCCATGGAAAAGAAGATATTAATTATACAAGAAGAATTTGTATCATTTTTTTTTTCAATATCATCCTTATTAATTATATAATGTACTTCGCTCGTGACATTTCTCTAAATGTCAGACAAGCAACACTTGTAGATGTCACCGTTAAATATCACAATCTATATGCTATGCTGACACTTCACTAGCGACACTTCTCTAAATGTCAGACAAGCAACTAAGCTATTGTGACATTTAGTTATGTGGCTAGCTTATATCGCAAATACTTGTTTATTTTGACACTTTTTAGTTGACACTTCTCTAAATTACAGAAATACGTGTTTATTGTTGTGACAATTTAAGATGTCAAACATTAAATGTCACAATATATATGCTATGCTGACACTTTGCTCATGACACTTCTCTAAATGTCAGACAAGCAACTAAGCTATTGTGACGTTTGGTTATGTGACCAACTTATGTCATCAATACTTTAATATTTTGACACTTTTTTAGTGACACTTTTCTAAATGACAGAAAAACGTGTTAATTGTCGTGACAATGGAAGATGTCAACGTTAAATGTCACAATATATATGCTATAATAACATTTCACTCGTGACATTTCTCTAAATGTCAGACAAACAACTAAACTACTGTGACATTTAGTTATGTTACCAACTTATGTCACAAATACTTCTCTCTTTTGACACTCTTTTAGTGACACTTTTCTAAATGACAGAAAAACATTTATTACTATGACAATCGAAGATGTCAAAATTAAATGTCACAATAAATATATTATATTGACACTTACCATAAATGTCACAAAAACCTTCAAAGTTAATGGTTTTACTGACATTTTTTGAAACTATCTTTAAAAAAATCTTACTATAACTGGTCTGACATATTAATCATCCACGAGTCCTTTTGCATTTAAGGTTACAAAGAGAGGCTGGGATCAACCTAAAATATGTTGCCAAGTTTTGTAGACTTGGATTAACCCGACCTGCCTTGTTTTATAAGGTTTTCTATATGATTGTTGTCACTAGTCATCTTGAATAGGTTTCGTAACCACAGTTACTGTCATAACTACCCCATAAATACATACATGCCCTAGGATCTAGTTCTGCTGCACACAGTTGATTGATTAAATCTTCAAATCTACCACTATAAAAAAAACCCTAATTTTCTCTACACTGCCACAACAGTAACTGAAACAGATAGTACCAGACGCAGACAATACAACCCAGCTACAGTAGACACATTTCACATCTGCTAAATTACCTAGGCCGTACATACTGAACACATACAAACCCTATATTTCACCTAAAACTTGATTGATTCAGCTACATGATCACGCACGCACGCTCGCTCATGGCTCCTGAAGAGCAAGCGAGGCTTCGCCTGCTCTTTGAATATGGAACATCATAACATTGAATAGGAATGAAACGGCTATAGCTCCTATATGAACTATTGGGAAGATCATAGCGGAGAAGTCGAGACCTAACAAAAGATGTAAACCTGAAGTATCGCGAAAGACTAGGATGGAAAACAAAACGGAATGTACTGAATTTTTAGCACGTGCAACCATCAAACCAGAGACCAAAACTGGGCTCGACAAAACAGAAAGTATCATGGTACTTCGTCCTTCCCTAAGTTGAAACTTTCATACTTGCGCCATAGCTGCGGTCGTTGTTGCCTTCATGTTGACGTTGGTGACGGTACTATTCCGGAAGAGGAGTGGAAGAAGGGAAGTTGGTGAGTAGGCTGAATAAGTCGTCGTCCATTGTATTCATCTCCTCCGCCATCACCGCAGCCGTCCCCTCCTTGGTCGGCTCCATTACTGTACGGATTATTGCTCAAATTAGTTACTTATTAGGGATTTCCTACGGTACTTTAAAGTAAGTTATTAATTTGAATATTTTTATCCGTTATAGTGGGTTTAGAGGTCGAATTACGTAGGATATAATTTAAGGGACCTCCTACGATAACTTGAGTATAATTTCAAATTAGAAAAAACTTGCATAAATTTAAACCGTTAAAATTGATCAAACTTATTTTAAATAAATGATTAAAGAAATAAAAAATATAAAAATAAGTATAAAAAAATCAATGGCAACATGGGCTCTAGATAGGGTGCATAACCATGGGTTATGCATTCATCAATAACCAAATCTGGACACTTTCATTTAGAAAATCCAGATCTAAGGATGGAGAATTAAAGATCATTTTTATTTTCTCTAGTTTTCTTAATCGGTTTATATCTTTTTCGTTTTAACTCGGATTTTAATTTTTGCACAGGTGGAACGAGTTAATCGTGCTCTACAAAATGAGATCAATTTTCAATATTTTTTTAGAACAAAAAATTCTGGCTTCTCGGTACCAACTGCATACCATATGGTATTTTCTTCATTTTTAATTCGTTTTTGAAAACGTTTGCACAGAAGGGACGAGTTCATCATGATCTATTGGATCTACAAATTTCTGAGTGAACAAATTACAGGACCAAAAAAATACCACACAATACCATACAATACCACCCCGTACCGGGGTGGTATTGTATGGTATCTTCTTCGTTTTTAATTCGTTTTTGAAAACGTTTGCACAGAAGGGACGAGTTCATCATGATCTATTGGATCT